AAAACAGGTTTGAGTTTTACATGTAGATAAATGGTTCAGAACCCCGACAAGTTGATAAATTAAGACACATGTGCAACATTTGGGTACCCAAGTGTTGCCATGTTTTTTAGTTTATAAAAGGTCTGCTCTGTATGAAAAACTAACATACTAAATAAAATGAAACCCTGTCGACGAGAGGTGTACCATATTTGTCTCACCATATATACATGAGAGTTTATTTAAAACCCTTTTTTTAGGGGTTAAAAGTATTCTTGTTGGTGAAAAGATTACAACTAAACGTGTTATAAACGCAAATAAATGTAGTTTTAACGCGAATAAACGTAGTTTAAAAGCGACTAAAGTTTCCATAAACACGATAAACGTACCATAAACACGACTAAACGTCTCTAAACACGACTAAAAGTACTCATAAAAACGACTAAACGCAGTTATAAACACGACTAAACTAGTTATAAACATGACTAAACGTATCAAAAACGACTAAAGCGTTATAAACACACAAACTAGTTATTAAACCGATAAAGTACTCATAAACACGACTAAACGTAGAAAAAACCTAATGTTAAAACGCGGAAACTAAAACTTTTCCTCCCCTTAGAAAATTGATGTGCTGGTAAGGTCTTGGTCCAAAAGGGAAAAAAAAGCTGTCACCCCCTTGTCGGATCAAAACCCGATTACCCCCCATACCCCGGCGCTGTAACCACATCATTTTCGCGATCCCAATGGCATTATAATAATTATAAAATTTAATTTGGTAGCAGTAGTAGGGCAATAGTAGTAGGGCATAGTGTTAAGTAGTGTAGTAGAAGCAGCGCGCCAAGCAGGCCGCGCAGCAGCGCAGCACAAGCAGCAGCACAAGCAGCAGCAGCACAAACGCACGCCAAGCAGCAGCACAGCACAAGCAGCAGCAGATAAGCAGCAGCAGCACACAAACGCAGCAGCAAAGCAGCAGCAGCACAAACGCAGCAGCGCAGCAAATCGCAGCAGCGCAAGCAGCAGCAGCACAAGCATCAGCAGAACAAGCAGCAGCGGCCAAAAGAAAGGCAGCACCCCCAAGCAGCAGCAGCAACCCAAGCAGCACAAGCAGCGGCAGCAGCAGCACAAATCAGCACAGCGCAAGCACCCACCCGGCTAAAGGGGCCATCAGCAGCACAAGCACCCCCGGGGAAAAGCAGCAGCAGCCCAAAAGGGCAGCAGCAGCGCAAAACCCAGCAGCAGAAATCAGCTGCAGAACCCTTTAAAGGCAGCAGGCAGCAGCAGCAAAAAAGAAAGCAGCAGAGCACAACCCGTAGAGCACAAGCAGTGCAAAAGAGCAGCAAAAGCACCCAAAGCAGCAGAAACAGCAAAGCAGCAGCACCCAGCAAAAACAGAAAGCAGCAGCAGAAACAAGCAGCAGTAGCAGCGGGCAGACAAGCGAGAGAAAGCAGCAGCCAAGCAGCAGCACCAGCCAAAGGCAGCAGCCCGGGCCACAAGAAAGCGCACCACAAAAGCCCCCAAAGCAAAACCCCAAAAAAAGCATCCAGCACGGGAACAGCCCCAAGCACAACCGGGCAAAAGCAGAGCAGCAGCAGCAGCAGAAAGCAGCACCCACCCCACAAGAAAAAAGGGGAAAAAAAAAAAACCGTTGCAGACAACCCAAGCAGAGCGGGCAGCAGCACAACCCAGAAAGCAGCAGAACCCAAGCCCCAAAGCAGCGAGCAGCAGCAGAAACAAAGCAGCAAAGCAAAGCGCCCCCCCCCACCCAGCACAGAAAAGCAGCAGCACAAGAGCAGCAGCAGAAGCAGAAGCAGCGCATTTAAAAGCAACTTTTTAAACAAGCTGGAGCAGCAGCACCCAGAAAAGCAAAAGCAGAGCAGCACAAGCAGCAGCAGCAGCGCAAGCAGCGGCAGTATAAAAGTGGGGGGTAAGTAAATAGTAGTAGTAGCAATAGTAGTGGTAGTAATAGTAGTAGTAGTAATAGTCGTAATAGTATTAATGGTAATAGCATTAGTAGTAATAGCATTAGTAGTAATAGCATTAGTAGTAATAGTAGCAGTAGTAGTAGTAGATTTTGTGAAGATGTTTTATGTAATAATTTAATGAAAACTCCAATAAGTCGAACTTTGAAAGGTCTGTTCTTTTGTGTTGCAGAACTTTTTAACAGCGACGTCTGTGACCACCATTGATATAACTCACGCTGGATGTCTGCAATGCAAACTCGTAAGTGACTCAGCATGTCTGAGTTGGCTAAGGTCCAAAGTATTCATACTATCAAATGCTTAAGGTACACGTGTTTATGCTGCATTCATTTTTATCAAAAGCTTAAGGTACGTGTTAGTCCTGCATTCATTTCTATCAATGCTTAAGGTAAGCATGTTAATCCTGCAGTCATTTCTAAGCCTAAGCAAGTTGAAGAATCGCTGAGTAGCCTGATTATTTCACTAGAATTTTAATTATGGGGAAACCTTAGCACTAAACCATACTGTAACCTAACTTGACTTTGCAGTTCCCCCTCCCCCACATCCACTCCGGGGTGAGAATTATTATTATTACTATTATTAATGGAAAAGTGCTAAAGAAGTTTAGATCATTCATCGCTTGGAGAATGTGTGGAGGTAAATCAGGTTTGACCCTTGGAGTGGGAAGGGCATCTCCAATTCCCTGGATCAAGAGCGTTCACCAGCCTATCTATGCACCCCTTAATTGAAACCTATGGGGATTGAAGTGATCAGACCCAAATATTATATTGAATTTTTTTATTTGCTTCTGAAAAATGGATAGTCTCTCGTGTTCATGTTACCTGAATGTAGCGTCTTGTATCATTTAAATTATTATTACTCATATCACATTCCTTCCTTAAGTGAATGTGACCGGACTTGACAAGGTTGGGGCATTGGCTTAAGCCGGTGGGAGATTTGGACTTGCCACGCATGGGCCAGTAGGTCTGCTGCAGT